AGTCAAAGGTCAGTTTTGTGGGAAAATTTTAATGCCACAACAGTTACTTGTCAAGGAGATGAACGGAAAGAAAATTCTGAAACTACGGACAAATATAAAAGTAAAACAAACAAAGGTAATTTCTTTGTTGGAAATGGTTCTTTTCCAAAGATTTCACTTTGAATATGAAATATTTTGCAATGGCCCAATAATTTCATAGTCTTCAGTTTTCATGTATACATCTAGAACATCTGACAGCAATGTAACCAAAACATAAATCTACAATGGAAATGCATACAGCACTTCAACAGGGAAATTTACTTGTAAAGTTACCAGGGTATCTCATTTTTCTGTCACACTAAATATCTATGTAAAACTGGTTTTTGCCAATTTACAATTAGATATCATTTATGAGAACACATTACAAATGTACTGGAACCAATAGAAGAATGAGCAAAAATAAATATTTTATACTAGAAATAAATCTTATGGTTCACAAGCTACTTTCTATTTGCTGAGTAATTTTCAGAGGAGAAGAAACTTTGTCTGAAGTTTAAATCACAACAAGAAAAGAAGCTAAAAGAGGAGAAGCTGAGGAGAAAACGTCAAAGGTCAGCTTTGTGGGAAAATTTTAAAGCCACAACTAGTCAAGAACATTAACAGACAGACAATTCTGAAACTACAGACAAATAATTATGATAGCAAAACAAACAAAGGTAATTTCTTTGTTGGAAATTGTTCTTCTCCAAAGATTCCACATTGAATATGGAAAATTATGCAATGGCCCAATAATTTCTTAGTCTTCAAATTTCATAAATTACATCTTGAAGTTCTGGTAGCAATGTCACCAAAACATAAATCTACAATGGAAATGCATACAGCACTTCAACAGGGAAATTTACTTGTAAAGTTACCAGATTATCTCATTTTTCTGTCACACTTACAAAGATCTATGTGAAATTGGTTTTTGCCAATTTACAATTAAAGATAATTTATGAGAACACATTAGAATGGAAGGATCAGCAAAAATAAATATTTTATCATGGAAATAAACCTTATGGTTTACAATCTATTTTCTGCTGGGATTCTTACAGGTGAGAAGGAACTTTGTCTGAGTTTACACAACAAGAAAAGAAGCTAAAAGAGAAGAAACATGAGGAGAAACCTCGAAACCAAAGGTCAGTCTTGGGGAAAAAGTTTAAAGCTAAAACCAGTCAAGGAGATGAACAGACAGATCATTCTGAAACTAAGGACAAATATGAAAGTAAAACAAACAAAGGTAATTCTTTTGTTGGAAATGGTTCTACTCCAAAGATTTCAAAGTGATTGTAAAGTGGCCCTCTATAAGGACAGGAAAAGTCACTTTGAAAATAAACTCTTCACATTGATCTCTGAGCTGCTGCAAAAAAGGAAGACTGCACTACAGCAAACCTTCCATCAGGAAATGGTAATGTAGGATGTAAGAACCAGACATTGATAGATGCAGCTAGAGGGTTCATGGGAGAGATGTAGTAAAGGAACATTTCTTTTGTTATGGCCTCTTATGCCATTGTAACTAAATAAAGTATATTGTACTCTTTTATTTTGTTTACAGTTACATGGCTCCCTCCCCCTATTTAGTTTATATAGCCCCGATAGTCTACAGACAATTCAAAAACTTAACTATGCCACCTTTTGGGTGCATAAAAGGTGGATACTAGAGAACGACAAACTACAGACATCAGACAATCACATAAGTCACTTAAACTTTAAGCTCAAGTGAATTGATCACCGGGAACTAGACTATAGAACATCATATTCAGATGTTTTAACAGCATGACTAGATATATTTTTCACTTTACAAGTATTACAATTTTCAACAGTATCTCCCTTACAATTCAAGAATGTATAAGCTTTACAATGCTCAAAATCTCAACCCATTTTTTGTGAAGTTTATCTAAAAGACTACTCCTGAATGAATTCTGACCTTCTTATTTGTTTTGATCATTTTGATTGTTGAACTGTCAATCATGTATTTTAAGGACTTAAAGATCATATTAAGAAATAAGTGAATGAAGGCTCTAAAATACTGACGCACATCTTACAACTGTGAACTTCCCAGAAAGGTTATATGTTTGCCAATTTAAGAACAAAATACATGTTATCTAATAAAAGTTGTCTGTACATGTATATATTAGATAAACAAGATATGTTTGTAAAACATGTATGCCCCCTATCAGCAGCCAATTAGTCATATGAAAAGGTTATTATGCATGACTTCTGACCCAGTGATCAAACAATTAATAAGGGTTATCAAGTATCTACTGGTCATGACCTTAACCTTTGACCCCTTGACCTAAAACTCAATAGGGGTCATCTGCTGGTCACGACCAATCATCATACAAAGTTTGAAGTTCCTAGGCCTAAGCGTTTTTAGTTAATTGATCGGAAACCGTTTTAACATACAAGGTCAATGTGACCTTGACCTTTGACCCCTTGACCCCAAAATCAATAGGTCATCTGCTGGTCATGACCAATCACCATACCATGTTTGAAGTTCCTAGGCCAAAGGGTTCTTTAGTTATTGATTTGAAAGCATTTTTACCTACATGGTCAATGTGACCTTGCCCTTTGACCCCTTAACCCCAATATCAATAGGGGTCATCTACTGGTCATGACCAATCACCATACCAAGTTTGAAGTTCCTAGGCCTAAGGGTTCTTTAGTTATTGATCGGAAACCGTTTTTACCTAAGAGGTAAATGTGACCTTGACCTTTAACCCCTTGACCCCAAAATCAATAGGGGTCATCTGCTGGTCATGACCAATCACCATACCAAGTTTGAAGTTCCTAGGCCTAAGGGTTCTTTCGTTATTGATCAGAAATCGTTTTTACCTACAAGGTCAATGTGACCTTGACCTTTGACCCCTTAACCCCAAAATCAATAGGGGTCATCTGCTGGTCATGACCAATCACCATACCAAGTTTGAAGTTCCTAGGCCTAAGGGTTCTTTTGTTAATGATCAGAAACCGTTTTTACCCAAGAGGTCAATGTGACCTTGACATTTGACCCCTTGACCCCAAAATCAATAGGGGTCATCTACTGATCATGACCAATCACCATACCAAGTTTGAAGTTCCTAGGCCTTAAAGTTCTTTAGTTATTGATTGGAAACCGTTTTTGCTTACAAGGTCAATGTGAACTTGACCTTTGACCCCTTGACCCCAAAATCAATAGGGGTCATCTACTGATCATGACCAATCACCATACCAAGTTTGAAGTTCCTAGGCCTTAAAGTTCTTTAGTTATTGATTGGAAACCGTTTTTGCTTACAAGGTCAATGTGACCTTGACCTTTGACCCTTTGACCCCAAAATCAATAGGGGTCATCTACTAGTCATGACCAATCAGCATACCAAGTTTGAAGTTCCTAGGCCTTAAGGTTCTTTAGTTATTGATCGGAAACCGTTTTTGCTTACAAGGTCAATGTGACCTTGACCTTTGACCCCTTGACCCCAAAATCAATAGGGGTCATCTACTGGTCATGACCAATCACCATACCAAGTTTGAAGTTCCTAGGCCTAAGGGTTCTTTAGTTATCACTCGGAAACCATTTGGTCTACGGACCGACGGACCGACAAGTGCAAAGCAATATACCCCCTTTTCTTCGAAATGGGGGCATAATAAGTTAGTAAAATCCCAGATAAACTTCACTATAATTGAGATGTATTAAGATTTTTACGATACATTTAGCCTATTACGACAAAGTTTGAACTGAATACAAGTTATGAATCTTATCATCCAATAATAATACTCCTAAAATAAGAATAAATAATTAAGAAACAACAATAAATTAAATTTTAGAGTTTACCATGTATAAACAAGTTGAACAACTTTATCACTTGTGGTGACTATTGTAAATCTTTGCTCCAGGTCATCATGATCTTAACTTGATCTTAATAAGACTAGATAGTTGACAAAACATGAAGATTTTGTCAAAAGCTTGTATCACATTAAAAAGGAAATTAAACACTTATGCACTTAATATCACATAGTTACTTGAACTCAAATAAAATATATGTTCAAGCCAACTCTTATTTACAAAGAAAAATATCACCTGTAAAAATCAACAGAACAATTACAAAACTACAGCTAGAAATCATTGTAAAACATAAATATCTTATACAAGTAAATATGTAACAACCACTTTATGTACAAGAATAAATCTAACTTTATGAGATCCCGTTGTATGGCAATGCTTTTTTTCTTCAGTAAAGAAGAAAAGCATCCTATAGTTAATATATACTATGCTTAAAAGAATATGTGACTAAGCATAGTCTCTAAACATGTAACATTTAAGAACAAACTCACCTTACAGGTAGAAACTGGTGTAAAGTAGTGTTGGGTATCGGACTCAAAAATGACTATCGATAATCGGACCACCACAATCGATTGTCTGCCGATAGTATAATCGAGTTTCGCACTTATTATGGACCTATTTACCAATCCTTGCATGTATTTTTTTATTCAGTAGTGACCACATTTTGAGAATAAATAAACTCTTGTCTCCAAGATTAAAGTATGATTTGCTCTTTGAATTCAAAACAAACAACACAAATACCTAATACTACTTTGTGACAGTCAATTTTTGTATAATACAACTTTATGGTAGTCAATATTAGTACTAGTCAACAGGTCACAATATAAATGAGTAACATTGTAGATCACTCATTTAACTACAGTAGATAATTATATATAAGTTTATAATGTTATGTTATTACACACTATAATTTTCTAAAGTAGTATTAACCATGATAAATAGGTTTTGAATACAAAAAAAGACTTTAGGATCGTCTGGAATTAAAGAGATTCAGTCGGGAAATTTCTATTTGACCGCGTGTAAAAAAGTTACGCCCTAAGCAATTCATGCGGTGGTAGAACATTAAAATAATCGATTTTTAAAAAGGACTATCGATAGTTGCCGATTTTGGGGTGGTCCGATTAGTTATCGATTTTCAGAGACAATCGGGACAACACTAGTGTAAAGAGTGTGCAACTGAAGCACATTTTGATATTTATGATGGTGTCAGTGATTGGGCACCATGTGCCTGAGATTAACATCCTTCAATTCTTATCACTTAATAATTACTTTATAATGAGATTCTTTAACATGTCATGTATCTTGTGTATAAAACAAAAACAAGAGCTGTCAAATAAGCAGACAACTAATGTCAATGGTGAATAGAAGTAAAAAAGAAAAGAGAGCATATCTACAAAACTGCTTGGCAGATTTATCTGTTCTTCATAAAAACAAGAGAGAACATATACGAAGGTTTTTGAGAAAATTTAGAAAATATATATAAAGGTACAGGAGATGATTAAGCAAAAAATGACTCCACGAGTTATCTATCCATAAGAAGCGCAATCGAAATTTGTTGTTGAAAAGTATTCCAACTTTTCTTTAATATTTTAAAGTTTTTTGGACATTAACCTTAACAGAAAGCTTAAATATATCATTTTTTAACTTGACTTGAATTAGAAGACTATATCAATCACCTATGACCTCCTCAACTTGATTATTATTTCTGGTATCCGAACATTCACATTTTCTTATCTTATCAAAATGGAATAAATGACCTCTGACCCCATATGAATATTTAGCATATGAAATCCAACCAAGAATGATAAAAAAGAAGGAAACTAAAATGAGAATGCCAAAAACATGAGGATCTGGGGCTGCTATCACCATGATGAACTTGAGCATATCCATCAATTTATTGAGTGAAGTTTGAACGCCATTTACAATACCACGTTCCGTTTCTTTAACATGTTCCAGGAATAGCTGTGTAATAGTTAAATCTGCCATCCATAAACCTGAAAGAATAAAAGATTGCAATAATCATTGATTGACCAAAAATCAAGTAATGCTACACAATATCTAAATTCTGTAAAAAAAAAATTCCCTCATAATTTTCAAAAATTGAGAAATAATGAAAAAATAAATGTTCACTTATTATAAAATTTTATGTAAGTAAAAATTTGTAAATATTTTACTTCTTCAAAAAGTCCAAAATTTCATTTTATGAAATTTTGGCATTTCCAAACCATCTGATTTTACAAAAAAATTTGAATAAATGTTATTATTTCTGAATGTCTAAATTCAGGAGTCCAAACGCCCATTGGTTAAGATATGAAAAAGTTAAGTTGAATGTATTTCCATGAAAGCAAATGAGATTCAGAAGTCCTTTAAATCAACACTTTGATGGTTATATCTAAGATTTGATCTGGCAAAAAGTTATGATAATCTAAAAGACTTTAATCAGTATATGACAAGTTTTTTTATACTTAATATTTTGAATGATGCCATTGCTGTATGCATGTATGGTTGGACAAGAACTTTCAGAGGAGTGCCCAACAAACATTTCTGTTTGATAGTTAACTGCATATTTTCTAATCAAGAAATAATTTCATTTACAAATTACCTTGACCTTTTTCCTTTGGCCATAAAATGAATGTGGCAGGTAGAACTCATCAAGGTGCATCTACATAAAAAGTTTGAAGTTCCCATGTAAATGCACTTTGATTTATTGACAAGTTTCTTTTTTTATAATTACCATTCCATATGACCTTGACCTTTAGACCAGCAAATGGATGTGGCAGGTAGAACTAATAAAGATGCATTTACATACACATTTTCAAGTTCCAAGGTCAATGCACTTTGATTCAATGTCCAATTTTATGTTTTGTTTTTACAGGTCACAGTGACCTTGACTTTTGACCTTAAGTAATGAGAAAGGAAATGGCAGGTAGAATCCATCAATGTGTATTCACATAAGAAATTTTAACAGAAAAGGATTGTCAGTATTGAAGTCAGTGTCTATTCTAGGAATTGAAAAATAGGGGTGATTTTCCCCCCTCCATTTCAAAAAAGGGGGCGATTTTCAAAATCAAAGGGTGCCAATATAAACTGCCAATGTTAAATCGTCTGCATTAAGTTTACACCGATGAAATAATTAAAACGATAATATTTATTTAAGGCAGCAGAAGTTGTCCCCCCTGAATTTTTAAACGAAAACAAATTATTACAGAACTGCCGCGATTGATTATAAAGGGATTAGCAATACAAATAATCGAAGTATCTTTCACGTATAGATCGTAGCCAAGCTAGGAATTGCCTCATTTTTCTTGATTATTTACTACACTAAAATGGCGCCCAACTGTCAGACCTAGCACACTAGTTCCGGTCGATACGGAACATTCCGTCAATTTCCGTCAACTCACGTAACCAGTACCATACGGTACTAAATTATTATAATTAGCTTACAGTTACCTCCCTTCGGTTTTCGGTGTAAATGTAAACAAAACAACCAAATATAATGCGGGATGGAAGTTTTACGGTTTTATTAACTTTTTTTATAGATGCGCGATTTTCACGCACATGATTTTGAATTGTGCGCGATCTGTTAAATACTAGCGTGAATCGCGCAATCGCGCGTCCTAGAATAGACACTGGAAGTCAATGGCCATAAATTCAAACTTAACCAAACGTCAACAAAAACCAAAGTCAATGTTGTCAAGTGGGACATGACAATAGTTCATAGCTTCCTACACAATTAAACTAAAATAATTCTATATAAACTAAAAATAATATATTTACCACATCTTGCTCCAATAATTCCAGCCAATAAAAGCCACACAGAAATAAGGGAATGTTTGCCTCTATCTGCCTCTTGTTCAGCACAACTTGACTGATCTCCAGTAGTATTCAATCCAGTCATGGTTTGCTGCAGTCCAGCAACACTTAAACTAGTATTTCCAATTGTTTTATTAAACACATCAGAATTTGTTACATTGTAAGGCACAGAAGTCAAATTTCCATTTGTTAACCCTGTACCATTATCACTGGGTAAATTACAAACTGTAATTGTGTCAGCTGATTGTTTAAGGAAAGGATCAAATGGTGATCCTGGTGCCCAAATGGACGCCACACAGAGACACAAAAACATCACTTCAAAGAAAAAGCCAAACAAGCCTGTTCTTTCCAGTCCAATGCGTTTACCTATGAAAGGATATAGAAATGTTCCTACAATCCCTGTGATAGCTCCTGCTGCCATGGCTACGCCCATAATTGACTCGTTAATACCTTGTGTGTAAGCGAAACCTGAAATAAATATTAACAATCCCTTATAGTAAAGAAAATTTGCTGTAATGTTTTGCTCTTTAAAAGAAGTCAGCAAATTTCACCAAGTACCAATAACATCGTTTTTTTAAAGATATGACTTAACTACTTCCCTTTTGTTTGTTTTGGATAATTCATTTGATCTTTTCTCATACAGTTGTAATCTAAAGATTTTAATTTTTTCATAGAGAACTAGCATCCTTCTTAATGAAATTACAACAAAACATTTTTAAGTTTTTCTTCAGGTCAATGGTTCAAATGAACTCCTGACAACCAATAGGCATCCAGTGAGAAATCTTTTTACATATATAGTAACAGAACAAAGGTTTTTATATTTACCAACGGTAATATTGTCAAAACCCAGCACTGTCATGTAGAGTGCTGCTAGTCCAAGACCAGCAAATGCTTCATCGTATTTAATGTAGGTCTTCCATCCACGATACAAAATAATAAATCCTGAAAACATCTTTATCCAGAATGGGTCCTTTTTCTTCTCTTTCTTTTGCTCTGTTTCATTCTTTAGCTTAGTCTCTTCATCAGTAGCAACACTTGCATCTTCATTTAGTTTTTCTGCATCACCAATACTGTTGCTACTGGTAATTGGGTCATGACCTTCAACATCAAGGTCATCTCCTTGGTTACTTTTAAGTGTTTCCATTTCTTGTTCTAAAGAAAAATGATAATCACTGACTTAAGGGTTATCAATCTGCAAATTTCTTACTAAATACTGTTGGCATTCACCTGTTATCATTTCCTTTTAGCACACAAATGGTTAATCAAACTATAACTCACAGCTGAAAATATCCACACAATGAACAAAATAATTAAACGTGATTTCTTAAGTTATACCTTTAATATATTTTCATGCTTAGATAAAAGCCCTCACATAAATAAAACACTTTTGACTTTAACAATAAAAGCACATAAAGTAACATTTTAGACAATAACCTTGAACACATTTATCCTCTATTGTTTATTAATGTATGCAAGCTGACATTTACTTTTTATAAAAAGTAAATGTCATTTTGCATACATTAATAAACAGCAGAGTATAAAAGTATTTAAGTACTACTGTACTACTATTAATTAGTTGTGTCACTGTAAGCAAAAATGATAACCAATTAAATGACTACATACTGTATTTCTAGAAAATTTTGAGGAAACAATATCTTATGTTTTTTCCTAAGGCAATCTTTCATGCAATCATAGTGTCCACGCATTTCCCGAGCATTTCGCAAATATTAAGTATTGTTTGTTTGATTGATTGGGTTTTATGTCACACTAACACAGTACAGGTCATATGGCATCGTACCAGTTTTACTGGTGGAGGAAAACCTCAGGTGCCATTCCATGCATTATCTCAGGCATGAACAGACACCTGAGTAGAACCACCGATGTACCATAAACTACTGTGTCGGTGAGGGGCAAGTGGTTTGAAGTCAAAGGCCTTAACCACTCGGTCATGGACGCCCTTCGCGAATATTAAGTTACTGAGATAAAGAGCATACATATATATGTAACTAATATGACAATTAGGTTTCTGTGTTTGTTCTCTCTAACCGCCAGACAAGACAATATTGACAAAAACTTTAAATTTTATCTATAAACAATCAATATGTTAAATATAAGATTCCATTCCTACATTATTCACTTTTACCAGAAAAAAGAAAATGTATTCAGATGACATATTGCTATTCAAACAAGAACTGTCGGAGGACAGTAAGGCTCGACTATTCGAAAAAGTTGTCACAAGGGTGTTTATTGAGTATAATAATGCTTACCTATGAATACATAAAATTGACCGAAAAGGTACAGAGGCTTGTTATTAAGATGTTTTATCAAGTAAATCACTGCATTATTATTATGAATGCATAAAATTGTCCCAAAAAAGGCACAAACCCTTCAGTAGTTATGGAGATAATAGCTTACAAGCAAAACTTTACCATGAATTTCTAAGTTGAAAAAGGGGAGAAAAATCAGCCTAAATGCAAGATAGAATTATGGATCTTAGTCAGTAACCTACAATTATGACCCTAAATGCATATGTGAAGTTTTAAATAAATATCTTTAATAGTTATTGAGATATGTAAAACTTGCATGTAAACATTAACCAAGAGACTAAGTAGAAAAGGGGAGATAAATCAGCCTAAATGCAAGATAGTTATGGAACTTGGTCAGTGACATACAATTATGACCCTTCATGCATATGTGAAGTTTCAAATCAAAATCTCTGATAGTTATTGAGATATGTAAAACTTACATGTAAACATTAACCAAGAGACTACATTAGCTCTCATATTCTTCGAATAGTCGAGCTAAAAATGTAATTTGCATTTAAATTCATAACGTTGAGTTAAATAATCATGTGATTTATGATTGATCTTTACTATCAGAAAACATATTCATTGTTTGAAATATAACAGATAAAAATAAACAATAAATGCTTATCCATATAGGTATAATTTGATATTGTACTAAGTCTTGTAACTTCCTTTTAAGCAAGTAAAATTACCTTCATTCAAAGTATGCAAACTGCAAATGTCTTGTTTTATATGATTTTATTCAATCTGTAAATAATGGATACTATAAAACAGTAAGACCGTTTTGCAAAGGGAAATGTTACTTTCAAATATGTGTCTGCTAAGCATAGTTAAAAGTTGTGCATACTATATCAAAGAACATCATATTGACATAATGTTTATCTAAGTGGTTGAAGCTACAAATGTTTGCGGAATTGTAACATGCAACTTTTTCATGAATACAAACATTCACAGAAATGTAGCCACTGGGAAAAGCACTATTTTAAAAAGCACAGAATAATTTCTAGGAATATAGTAATGAACCTGTTAAACGAATAATACTAATGAAATTGTAAGAAATCAAGCATTAACTTTGTTTCTGTATAACAAGATATGACATTTTGTTTGTATTTGTTGTACTCATGATAACTATACATATCTCACAATGAAGTTACTATTTTCTTAGGAAGAAGAACTAAATACCAAACATACCTGTATAAACAGATAAATGTGACACCCCTACAATAAATTTTAAACCCAAATCATATTTTTGGGCCCAATAATGACATGTAACACCTACCAGCTGGTTCCCCATTCCACAACTTTTTGTTTTTCAAAGCTGGTACCAGGCTATACACCTTCCAAAGTAGAATGTATTCTATAAACACTGAGACAAGGTTCCATCCGGCAATGAAAAATGCACCAACACCAACTGATGCAAAGTACATAATTTGTCCAGTAGCTATGGGGGCCACAAGTTTGTTACAGAGATCTATTCTACGTAATGTAGCCGTCATACCTGAAATAATACATGTTTATTATACTAAAAATTTCAAGCCATGTTTGGAAATTTTTTATTCCAAATACTATGAACAATATTTAGTTCTGCTGATGAGGCACTTTTGAACATTTTCAATAAAATTTCAGAAAAGGATCTCACTTAATATTAATTAAATTATTTCTTTTCTCACTAACTTAATAGTCAATATTTGCTCTGAAAGCCTGTCTTATTATCCTCTATATGATCTATATGATGCAATTAATAAATTTCATCTTTAATAACACAATAAAATTATAATTATCAAATATCTTGTTCTCCTGGAAAACATCAACCCTTTTGTGCTTATGTAAAAACTTTTCAGGTTTTACTAATTCTAGATTTTAAACAGTCATGCTTCATACATACATACTACTGTCATTTTAATGTAAAGCAATTAGTGTCAAGTGATCAGAACTAAGTGTCTTTTATGACGACTTATCTAAGTGTTTACTAACAACCAGAAAATATCAGACATTGTCAGGATTATTAACTCTTTAAGCGCTGGACCCGAAAGCGTTAAGCCTTTGCCATCAGTATAGATCCAGGCCAGCCTGCACAGATCTGCTCATCCGTGCAGTCTGACCAGGCTTTTTACTGTTGGCTGACAAATTTTAAATATTTAAATTGATATCCCTAAAATGAATAATGGACAGACTCAAAAAAGGAAGTGGGACAAGTCCATTTAAAATATTCAGCATGTTAAGGGTTAAATGGTCTTACTAGCAAGTAGATTTTTATCATCTCCACATATCTCTACAATCCAGTCTTTCTGTACTGCGATGTTAGTACCAATACTTCCTAACATTGCCAGTATAGCCACTAGAATGATCGCCACATAGCTCAGTATGAGAAGTCCCTCGTTAGGCCAGGCAGCTTGTATCTCTGTCTTCCATGTTATAACAGTATATACAATAAGGGCACAGACAACTACACTTGTATTCTGTACAATAAGACTCATCCTGGCAGCTGAAAGACAGAACAGAATGATTGTCAAACACAGTAATTGAGTTTATTACTAAACAGTAGTTAATGCTGTATACACTAGCTAGTTTCTTTTGTTTACTTTTGACCGCTACAAGCAGTTATATCAACATTTCTAGTTCCCATTTTGTTAAGTTCTTTTTTAAAGCACAATTTTAAAATTGCATTTCAAGATCAGCTCCAATTTGGATGAAGGCTGAGTAAAAATCAAGAATTTTTAACTAAATACTGTACATACACAGTATTCTATTAATCTATCAATTTTATATACAGTCAGGACTCATTGCAACGACACTGTTGGTTCCCTTATATCGAATTTGTCAGTATATTGAATTTCATCATTCATCAAGTAATGATATGCTTATTCACTGGTATCTGAACATTATGTATAAACATCTATAATGAAAAAGATTTTTGTGTTTATGTGTTCATTTTATTATACACATTAAATATCCTACACATAATACAACAACTTTAATAAACTATAACATCTAAAATAATTAAAGATTGATATGAAAATGATAAAACTTTATAAAAATGAAAAGCACATACAATGAAATGATAAAACTTTATAAAATGAAAAGCACATACAATGAAAGGTCTATCTTTATATAAAATGATTACGTTTTTTTTTTTTTTTTTTTTTGTTCAAAAGTTAAATAAGTCCGTTGACGTTTAGCTGGAGGTTCTGCAAGTTTTTTAATAAAAAAGTCACAAGTTGGCAAGTGTAACAAAATTCAGCTGACAACAACATGTTGGTATTGATTTAAGGTGTAACAATCAACTGACCAAACTACAATACCTCTTTTAACACCTTGCGGCTTTTGTTTACGGCTCTATATAAGCGCGCTTGACTTACCAAGTGTCAGTTTAACGGGTACTGATTGTATAGAAAATAACACGTTTGGTTTCCAATTTTATTGTATCAGAGTCGGAATACAAATTTTCCATTATAAAGGATTATAATGACGTTGAAAACAAGAGCCACCGCCGGGCGGGGGCAACGCTCGACTTTTTACTTTTTCTAAACGCAAACATAGAAAGGTTTGAACATATATTGATGTTTCCTTTTTATAAATTTAGTTGGTCTGTCTTGTCACATTAGTTTTGTTTATATATTTTGTATATATATGAATAGAAACATTAAGCATATTTCTAAAAATAGCAACAGTACGCAATTTCTAAAAATAGCAACAATGACGCAATTTTTAAAAATAGCAACAATGACGCAATTTCTAAAAATAGAAAAAATGACGCAATTTCTAAAAATAGAAAAAATGACGCAATTTCTAAAAATAGAAAAAAATGACGCAATTTCTAAAAATAGAAACAATGACGCAATTTCTAAAAATAGAAAAAAAAATGACGCAATTACTAAAAATAGAAACAATGACGCAAATTCTAAAAATAGAAAAAAATGACGCAATTACTAAAAATAGCAACAATGACGCAATATCTAAAAATAGAAAAAATGACGCAATTTCTAAAAAAGAAAAAAAATGACGCAATTTCTAAAAATAGAAAAAATGACGCAATTTCTAAAAATAGGAAAAAAATGACGCAAATTCTAAAAATAGCAACAATGACGCTATTTCTAAAAATAGAAAAACATGACGCAATTTCTAAAAATAGAAAAAAAATGAAGCAATTTCTAAAAATAGAAAAATGACGCAATTTCTAAAAATAGAAAAAATGACGCAATTTCTAAAAATAGAAAAACATGACGCAATTATATACATGTATATTATATATGTATATATATATATATATATATTTAATATATATATATATTTGATATATATATATATATATATCTATATATGTATATATATATATATATATAATACATGCATATATATATATATATATTATATATATACCTGCATATATGTATATATATACACACACATTTATATATATATATATATATAATACATATACTATACATACACACACACCAATAAATGCACAATCTGAGAAAATTCAGTAATATAACCTTCAAGGTCAAGGTCATTAAAGAGCCCAAGCAAATTTGGGTTTGATAAACAACAAGGTCTGGTCCTTAAGAATGTTCTGTTATAATATGAAGTTTATCCTTCAAAAATAGCAAAGTTACAGTCAGTTACTGCCAAAACAATGAAAATTTCAATAATTTGACCTTCAAAGGCAATGTCATTAATGAGTGAAGGTCAAGGTCTTTCGGTATATTTTTAACAGTTATCTTTGAAGATTATTATGTTCAAGTTTGAAGACAATCCATTCAAAAATAACAAAGTTACAGCCAATAATAGCCAAAAAAATGAAAATTTCAATAATTTGACCTTCAAAGTCAAGGTCATTGATGAGTGAATGTCATGGTCTGACTGGTTATTTTTAAGGGATATCCTTGAAGATTATTATGTTCAAGTTTGAAGACAATCCATTCAAAAATAACAAAGTAACAGCCAATAACAGCATGAACAAGCAAAAATTGGACTTTTAACCTTGAAGGTCAAGGTCATTTATGGATGAAGGTCAAGGTTAGTGTGGTCTACTGAAAGGTCTTGTCCCAAGGGTTGTTGTGGCCAAGTATGAAGACAATACACCAAGAAATAAAAAAGTTATGATCCAGGTACAATTTTTCGGACGGCAACGGCAACGGAGACGGCAACGCCGACCTGACTATAACAATACCTCTACTTTTTTTTTTCAAAAAAAAAAAAGTCGAGCTAAAAATTGGTTCCCACTTATTCACTGTCGTTATTTGAATTTGTCAGTATAAAATTACAACAAACCTTTCAACCTAGGTGTTCTATCAATCCATTCACCAACAAGTGCTCCAAACAACAACACTGCTGTACCCATAGAGAGCCCATAGACAGCCGTTACCCTGAGAGATTCTGGTGATATGATAACCATAAACAAGCCCACGCCAAATGACCACATCCTGTCACCCTGGAATAAACATAAACTACATGTGATTGGGATTTTTCAATGAAATATGAAGAAATTACTATATGGACAGGTCTTTACTATTGGTTTTTTCTCCTATACAGATCACTATAAGTCATGTGATTAGGTACAGTGTGTATTTTCTGTAATCACTTCCATCTTCAATCTTAATTTTGTTAAATTCTTATCCATGTAGGAAATAGTGAAGCAGGGTTCAACTTTAACACTTAGACGAAGAGGTAGTTTTTTTTAAAAAGACATGACTGAAGAGTTTAGATTCCAGATTGGTAAATATGGTAAATAGTGAAATAGAATCCAGCGATTTTTTTCCCTATATAAGTGGTACTGAATAACGGACCCATTCACAATCACAAACGGACCTTCACAATTTTCAGACTGGGTCCGACGGACCCTTTCACAATTCTGATGAAATTTCATAATTCCCATTAATTAAGCCTTAAATAACGTATTATTTCCTCTCTACGCATAATGATGCTAAAATTTTGCCTGTTGTGCTTTGTTTATCTTAAAATGCGTTTAGCCTACCATGATTTGCGGTGCATTCGCCCTTTAAATTTTCGTACTGTTTAATACGAAACTTCTAGGGATGAATCAATACCAAAACAAGCGTCTGGTAATTTCTGTAAACATCATTCAAATTGTCTCGTAACAGTAAATACTACATTAAAAATATTGTATGTTCTTACTGCTTAATAAGATATTCACAATCTTAATTAAAATATTCACAATTTGTTAAGAAACAACGCTTTTTTTCACAATTTTTATGATACCGGACCCATTCACAATTCAGGGATCACTGGAATCTATCCATATGCAAATTTCTGTATGATTCATTGGTATATCTAAACTTCGGCCATTTTGAAATCTTGTGAATCATAAATATACAATTCTCTTTCATCCATGGTTAAGGTAAAGAAGGCCCTGAAAAAACATCATAATTATATCCATATATCTTTTATCAGGCCTGTTTTCCCTTATATACGTACTGCCAGAAAACAGAGACATCCTAAAGCTAAAACATTTAGTTTTTTAAACTGAGAAGCATTAAATTCCAAAAGGTAAGCCTATATTTAACACTACTGTTGAATTTCTTTCAAAAAGTATTTTTGTTCACATGGGAAACTCTTGAAATACTTAAACCACAGAATACATGTTAGTCTTAAAAGGCTCTCAAAAGAAGCCATTTTCTGTTTATTAAAGCTCATAGTTTTTACTCCTGATTTGGACCTTTATGTCATTTTTTCTCCAATGGGTGGCATTCCCAAAATGTTAAAAAAAGGCCTGTTTGCTAAAGAAAAAGGACAGCATTTCCTTTTCAACAAAATATTAGTAGTTTCTTACCCAAGTGGATAAAGCATGGCTCAGGTAGACAAATAATCTTATCTTCAGTGGAATAGATCCTTCTCCAGAACCTGTTTGAAAGCAAGCAAATTTGCTGAATTGATATAATGTTATTAAAACTTCTATGTATTATATATGTTAGAATATATTTGAAAATAAATTTTGTTTCTTTGTTTACTTTGACATTAAGCCTACAAAAATAAGCAATGTAAAGCAGAGCAAATAGCTCTTCCAGTAAATAACATCAATTTTTTAAATTATGACATAAAAATATTATTACGAAATATATACTGTAATTGTATCATTCATTTTAGCATGATACTAACAACTACAATGACAGAAATTAAGTGAGACAGGCAATCTATGCTCAAATTCAATTAATCTAACTACACAAGGAATAATTATATTATCATTATTAATTGCGAATTTCATGTATTCTATTTTTATGTCATTAATTATACATTTGCATAAAAGTATATGAAGTGGTGCATAAGTCGAGTGGTTAACACAACGGACTAGTAACCTAATAATTGCTAGCTGTATGGGAACAAACCCCGTCAGGGGCAAGATTTTGTTTCCTTGAGCAATCATTCCCTAGTATTGGTTAGTTCCAGGAACGATTTTCGAAAGTGTGTCTATAAGTTTATAGCTTCCACCAAAATCAAACTAAATTAAATTCAAAACTAGAACTGCCACTATCAACTATCATGGCGTGAATACCCCCGCATACCACTTTGTCAGAATCAACAGTGGCCATTTAGAGCTCAAGGACAACCTCCCTGCCAAATCTGAGGTTACTAAGCCAGTGCATTGCGAAGTTATGTATTCTACATGCTTTAAATGTGAAAATGTCAAAATCAATACACTGCGGACAGGCATTCTTTAGCAATTGAGTAGAAAAGCTTCTTTTTTTTGTCAAGGTCCCTGTGACCTTGACCTTTGACCCAGTGACCCCAAAATCAATAGGGGTCACCTTATGGTCATGATCAACATCCATGCCAAATATGAAGACTGTGGGTCAAAGGAATCTTAAGTTAATGGGCAGACAAGCTTTTTGAAGTCAAAGTCCCTGTGACCTTGACCTTTGATCCAGTGACCTCAAAATCAAAAGGGCTCATCTACTAATCATGACTAACCTCCATTCCAAATATGAAGACTGTGGGTCAAAGGAATCTAAAGTTATTGGGCGGACAAGCTTTTTATTGTCAAGGCCCCTGTGACCTTGACCTTTGACCTGGTGACCTCAAAGTCAATAGGGGTCATCTACTAATCATGACTAACCTCCATGCCAAATATGAAGACTGTGGGTCAAAGGAATCTAAAGTTATTGGGCGGACAAGCTTTTTGAAGTCAAGGCCCCTGTGACCTTGACTTTTGACCTGGTGACCTCAAAATCAATAGGGGTCATCTACTAATCATGACTAACCTCAATGCCAAATATGAAGACTAAGGGTCAAAGCAATCTTAAGTTATTGGAGGAGGACAAGCTTTTTGAAGTTAAGGCCCCTTTGACCTTGACCTTTGACCAAGTGACCTCAAAAGCAATAGGGATCATGTAATAATCATGACTAACCTCCATGCCAATATGAAGACTGTGGGTCAAAGGAATCTAAAGTTATTGGGCGGACAAGCTTTTTATTGTGTCAAGGCCCCTGTGACCTTGACCTTTGACCTGGTGACCTCAAAGTCAATAGGGGTCATCTACTAATCATGACTAACCTCCATGCCAAATATGAAGACTGGGGGTCAAAGGAATCTAAAGTTATTGGGGCAGACAAGCTTTTTTGAAGTCAAGGCCCCTGTGACCTTGACCTTTGACCTGGTGACCTAAAAATCAATAGGGGTCATCTACTAATCATGACTAACCTCCATGCAAAATATTAAGACTGTAGGTCAAAGGAATCTTAAGTTATTGGGCGGACAAGCTTTTTGAAGTCAAGGCCCCTGTGACCTTGACCTTTGACCTGGTGACCTCAAAATCAAGAGGGGTTCATCTACAAATCATGACTAACCTCCATGCCAAATATGAAGACTGTGGGTCAAAGGAATCTTTAGTTATTGAGCGGACAAGCTTTTTGAAGTCAAGGCCCCTGTGACCTTGACTTTTGACCTGGTGACCTCAAAGTCAATAGGGATCATCTACTAATCATGACTAACCTCAATGCCAAATATGAAGACTAAGGGTCAAAGCAATCTTAAGTTATTGGGCGGACAAGCTTTTTGAAGTCAAGGCCCCTGTGACCTTGACCTTTGACCTGGTGACCTCAAAGTCAATAGGGGTCATCTACTAATCATGACTAACCTCCATGCCAAATATGAAGACTGTGGGTCAAAGGAATCTTAAGTTATTGAGTGGACAAGGTTTTTAAAAGTCAAGGCCCCTGTGACCTTGACCTTTGACCTGGTGACCTTAAAGTCAATAGGGATCATCTACTTATCATGACTAACCTCAAAGCCAAATATGAAGACTAAGGGCCAAAGCAATCTTAAGTTATTGGGGGGACAAGCTTTTTGAAGTCAAGGCCCCTGTGACCTTGACCTTTGACCTGGTGACCTCAAAATCAATAGGGGTCATCTACTTATCATGACTAACCTCCATGCCAAATATGAAGACTGTAGGTCAAAGGAATCTTAAGTTATTGGGCAGACAAGCTTTTTGAAGTCAAGGCCCCTGTGACCTTGACCTTTGACCTGGTGACCTCAAAATCAATAGGGGTCATCTACTAATCATGACTAACCTTCATGCCAAATATAAAGACTAAGGGTCAAAGGAATCTTAAGTTATTGGGCGGACAAGAAAAAAACGACGGACAGCCGGATGGACAACCAAATTGACAAATCAAATGGACAACCTGATTCTAGTATACCCCCCTTACAACTTTGTTGTGCGGGTACCCCCCTTACAACTTTGTTGTGCGGGGTATAATAAGATAGAAATGAAGAAATACACCATGTCAATACCAGTGCAAGTTGAGTAACTTATTAATCTACCAGTGTAAATTTAATTCTATATAAACCAAAAAATGAAATGTATGTACATGTATTTCATTTATCTAAACATGAATACTAAAATGATGCACAAGGCATGACCAGACTGTTTAGCTCAGAAGTAAGAAGTGTGTAAGATCTCTAGACCTTATATTAGTTATGTCAATCTATGTCCTATAAAAGTTTCTATAAAAATCTCTCCTCAGTTGCTGTAGACACGTACTTGCCACAAATCAGGTTGATGCAGGAACACTTGCACGCCCCATTTAAATTCTACATGCATACTTCAGTTAAATCCTACACTTGCATGCTCAAGTTAAATTCTACTTGCATACTTCAGTTAAATCCTAACTACAAACTGAGGTAAAAAGCTAACATGGCAAGTCAACAAGATAAAGTATAGGAAGTAAATCTATTTTACCCATATTCTCCCAGTGTTTGCTTGCTTTCCTTGTATTTCCTGTCTATTCTTTAATTCATCACCTGCTCATGTCATGGTCATATGTGGAAATGATTTAGCAGTTCTTCACCCCATCAATGCCACAAAAAGAACATCTGAAATCAATGAAGTTACACGACTGACTTGTAAAGTGTCATTTCAGGCCTTGACAAATCCACTTGCCTGCTTGCATTATCAAACTTGCTCAACAAGGTGAGTAAGATTCTCTCAATCCAATTGATGTTTCTCTTAACATTTATAAATGAAGTTATTAGGTAAACAATCAATCATACTTGTCAAATTAAAAACCGGAAATCGACCTCATGGCTAAGTATAAAACTGAATCGATTTCCGAACCCGTATGATGAATTAATTAATGCCTCCCCGTTACGTAATGACAGCAGCATTTGACAATGTTTTATACATATGCATTCGGTAAAGTTTTATTCTTAGCAATAAGGCTGATTCCGGTAGGCAATGCGTTAGAATTTGAATGAGATAAGTATACAGACTATGTCGAAGATTATACAATAAGAGTATAAAAAAGTATTATAAACAAAATGTTATTAAATTAAGCCAGTTATACCAATATAGACATAGAAAAATTCTACTCAGCCTTGCATTAACTTATTATTGGTCAACTCAACCCAATACCAACTTGGTATGTGTCAATTTGGTCCTATACCAACTTTGTACATGTTATCTCAGTCCTCTAACAACTTAGTACATGCTTAATGAGCCCTATACAAACTAGTTTCAGTTCAGTTTGAACCTATACCAACTTGGTATGTATCAAAAGTGAACTTACACCACTACAAACTTGATTTGATTCAATACAGCCTTTTAGTTTAGCAAATTGGAATGTGTCAACTCATATCTATCCAAACTTTGTATATCCCCTTTACTAACTTGGTTTGCATCCACTCACACCTATACTAAGTATTTGTCAACTTAGCATTATCTATACCAACTTGGTATTGATCACTTTTAGGGGAATGGTGGCTGGGCCCATGGAGAGGGGAAAATTGTATTGTCAAGCGGAAAAAGATGATGAAAGTTAGAAACACATTAAACAGTCCATTTATTGCAAAATTGTGATAATTATACTTTTATACCATTATTCTTATGTCCTACTCAGTCCCACTATTTGCAATAAAATGGATATTCAAACAAGAGCTGTCACGCATGTGACAAATGCCCCTAAAAGGTGTGTATTATGAAAAGAAAAGAGAATGAAAGTTACTTATTTCCATTATATTGTTCTTGTGATATGAAGTGCTATTTATATACTATCTATAACACCTTGTGACAACCCTTACGGAATTCACTTATAAGTCACTTATAGGCTATTTTATATGTAGATTATACTTCACTTAGTCAATTCACCTATAAGTCAAGTATATGTATTTTAAATGCAAATTAGATGTAAGTGCAGTATATGTCTGGCATTTTGACATATAAGTGAAGTATAAGTTATATATAAGTCACATATATGTGACATGTAAGTCAAAGATATGCTCAACTTATAAGTAACATATAAGTGACTTATATGTTACATATAAGTGACTTAATATAAGTCACTTATAAGTAAAATATAAGTCACATGTAAGTCGCATATATGTTGCTTGATGTCAAAAAAGCTTGAAATAAAATAAAAGTTTAGTAATTTAATTTCAAAAATGTTTATTAATTTATATTCATAGTCATATAAATGAGCAAAATACAAAATTCAACATACATATCCTTCAGTTCAATCATCTTACATTCACTATAACAAAAACAATATTCATTTGTAACAGCAAGTTTTTGTTTTTTACTGGTTTTCTTGGAATCAAACACTTTATTTATACAATTATTTTGCTGGAAGTCTGTCGGTGAGGAACTGTTCAAATCATAAATTTGATAAAATGTTTCTGATTATTCAAACTACTATTTCTTTTATTGATGTCTGTTTCAGTGCTCTGCTTCTGTTTCCTCGGAGAACTTCATGTGGCTGTGTTCACCTTTAAAGATAAAATTCATAATTAATTAAAAAAGATGTGGGAATAAATTCCGACCATTGTATATGCAGTTATATTTCATATTTTGTATATCATCAAACTATATTAGCTATTTATGCTTATGCATATACAAATATACTAAGTAACACAGTATCTCATTTTAGTGCACAAGTCAACAGTGTTGTTTAAGAATTGCTAAAAGTCTCTATAAGAATTGATTAACTGCACTATTTGCAACAACATTTATTATGCTCTTTTCTGGGAAAGATTTAGAGCAGTAAGTATAGATCGAGATTAAAAAATATACCTTTTCAGGCTCAATACTGCATATCATTATTCACTTGGCATCTCAAAGTAAGGACTGGTCCAACTAGCCTGCAATGTATGTAAAATGTAATTTCAAATTTCTCTATTGAAAACAACAATAAAACTAGAACTGCCACTATCATGGCGTGAATACCCCCGCATACCACTTTGTCAGAATCAACAGTGGCCATTTAGAGCTCAAGGACAACCTCCCTGCCAAATCTGAGGTTACTAAGCCAGTGCATTGCTAAGTTATGTATTCTACATGCTTCAAATGTGAAAATGTCAAAATCAATACATTGCGGACAGGACATTCTTTAGCAATTGAGAAGAAAAGCTTTTTTTTTGTCAAGGTCCCTGTGACCTTGACCTTTGACCCAGTGACCTCAAAATCAATAGGGGTCACCTTATAGTCATGATCAACATCCATACCAAATATGAAGACTGTGGGTCAAAGGAATCTTAAGTTAATGGGTGGACAAACTTTTTGAAGTCAAAGTCCCTATGACCTTGACCTTTGATCCAGTGACCTCAAAATCAAAAGGGGTCATCTACTAATCATGATCAACATCCATGTCAAATATGAAGACTGTGGGTCAAAGGAATCTAAAGTTTTTGGGCAGATAACGACTTTGAAGTCAAAGTCCCTGTGACCTTGACCTTTGACCTGGTGACCTCAAAATCAATAGAGGTCATCTACTGATCATGACTAACCTCCATGCCAAATATGGCGACTATAGGTCAAAGGAATCTTAAGTTATTGGGCGGACAAGCTTTTTGAAGTCAAGGCCCCTGTGACCTTGACCTTTGACCTGGTGACCTCAAAATCAATAGGGGTCATCTACTAATCATGACTAACCTCCATGCCAAATATAAAGACTAAGGGTCAAAGGAATCTTAAGTTATTGGGGCGGACAAGCTTTTTGAAGTCAAGGCCCTGTGACCTTGACCTTTGACCTAGTGACCTCAAAATCAATAGGGGTCATCTACTAATCATGACTAACCTCCATGCCAAATATGAAGACTAAGGGTCAAAGGAATCTTAAGTTATTGGGCAGACAAGCTTTTTTAAGTCAAGGCCCCTGTGACCTTGACCTTTGACCTAGTGACCTCAAAATCAATAGGGGTCATCTACTAATCATGACTAACCTTCATGCCAAATATGAAGACTAAGGGTCAAAGGAATCTTAAGTTATTGGGCGGACAAGCTTTTTGAAGTCAAGGCCCCTGTGACCTTGACCTTTGACCTAGTGACCTCAAAATCAATAGGGGTCATCTACTTATCATGACTAACCTCCATGCCAAATATGACGACTGTAGGTCAAAGGAATCTTAAGTTATTGGGCGGACAAGCTTTTTGAAGTCAAGGCCCCTGTGACCTTGACCTTTGACCTGGTGACCTCAAAATCAATAGGGGTCATCTACTAATCATGACTAACCTCCATGCCAAATATGAAGACTAAGGGTCAAAGGAATCTTAAGTTATTGGGCGGACAAGCTTTTTGAAGTCAAGGCCCCTGTGACCTTGACCTTTGACCTAGTGACCTCAAAATCAATAGGGTCATCTACTTATCATGACTAACCTCCATGCCAAATATGAAGACTAAGGTCAAAGGAATCTTAAGTTATTGGGCGGACAAGAAAAAACCGACGGCCGGACGGACGGACGGCCGGACGGACGGCTGGACGGACAAGCTGATTCCAGTATACCCCCCTTACAACTTTGTTGTGCGGGGGTATAATAATAAATGATTATGATGACCCTGTCTTATTCAGCTGCATAAAACTACTGATTGTACTATTTAGTCCTAATAATTCAATTAATTTAACTATTAAATCTAGATTTAAATCAATTACAAGTATTAGTAAATCTAATGTATGAAGCTTAGAAATAAAAACAGCCTTGATCTCTCAAGTTACAAATTTTAGTTTGCTGCCATCTTACTTTGATTGTTTAATATATAACCTGTATCAAAGGTATTTACCTGATTTTGTTGTATATCTTCTTGTCCAAGGTGATTCTTCTTGTCATTCTTATTTACCATAACTATACTTAAACATCTTAAAGTTAAACAAAACAATATCTCTAAAATTCCTAAAACATCAAGTAGATTCTCTGTGATTTCCACCAGCTTGCTAACCTAAATGTTTCAGACTTACAACTGTGTACCTGGGCAGGTCCAATTTTATGTAAAACAGGGTAAATCCAAAAATCAAAGCACTCATCAGTTCTATCTTACAATCATTGAATGTGAAAAAAAATCAAATAACTAATAGATATGTAAAGTTTAAAAATCATTTATACATTTTTGAAAAAGAAAATGCAATGTCCTTTTTTTACAAATTCAGGATAGGAAATGTTATCTTTCCCCAAAATAATCACATGGAACAGTCTGATTTGTAGGAATGACCAGTCAAAAAATTAGTCATGCACATATGGTGGCAAAGTTGGCCAGTTTTC